AACTTACGGAAAATTATATTTGACGTACGAAATTGAGAAGGTGTGTGTTTACAATGAAGTTAATTTTCTTACGTGACGCATGCGCATTTCATTTCTAACCTCAGTTTACAAAGTGTACATATTTCAGCTAAAATACATAACACTTAAGTCAAAAACCGCCAAAGGTATTTGGCAAAAATGAAAGAATCCTATTCTGGGAATGAAATAAGTCGATTACATTTTAATAAATGTGTTTCGTTTCATTGTGGTATCACTGATACATAGACGAAATAAGAACCAGAATGTTTGTTAGATATAGGTTTTTTGTAATGTATTTATAGTTTAAAATAGGTAATTATAAATAAATATTGTTAATACTGCTTAGTCTGTTTATTGCCTACCACCTTAAGTACCGGGAACCAATTTACACATAAAAATCAGGTAAACTAAAATTGCGGGAACCAAGCTACCATATTCTTTTCTAGCCCTCATTATCTTGGGAACCAAATTACGTGTACCCTTATAACTCTGTGTCTAGATTTAGCTACCGCAGCTAATTAATTCACATATTTCACTTAATTTACATCTAATACAGAATATAATACACTCAATTAACTAACGACCCAACGCAACTGCAAGTGTGCAAAAATAATTTAAATATTCCTAAATATTTTTACAAAATTTGGAATGTCGAAGTGCCAGAAAAATGTTAGTGGATAATCCAGTCCATTTGTCTAGCTTACTAGATGTTTTTTATATAATTATCACATACTGACACAGTATTAATATTTTGCTCGATATTTTGCCTCGGTAAATCTATAAATAATGTCAATTTTCTCTATGTGTGTAGATGCATTATATTATTAAAATTTCCTCATTAACTAAATAAATGTGATAGAAACTGGGCATTTCGTTTTTCAGCGGTTAATTTATTCAGTTTACGTGATTTCTTTCTACCAGCTCCGAAGGGCGAATGAGAGAAACCACCATAGACCCTCAGGCTCGGGCGAATTCCCTATCCGAATGCATGAGGTTGTCGAGATCATCTAAGCGCAAGAATAGGCGAAGCGGACGATAGACCGACCTTGGTATTCCTAGTCACACATCGCATCCAAATGGCATGTAGAAAGGTGAGTGTGCTCCTCATATTCAAAAAAAAAAAAAAATCTGTACGGTTTACAGATTTTTAGGTTCCGTCCAAAAAAAATCATCTATCGATTGAAGAGGTTAGGAGTCGAACTCACATGGAATGAGTAGGTACTCCATATTTTCAGAAAAACCAACAATGCACTGTGGCATAACAGCTAAGGTCACATTATAGTGGTGAAGTGGCCTGTATCACTTCCTCTCAGAAATTTGCTGATCTGCATAGGCACAGAAAAAAGGCCGACATGGTGCTTGGGGCAACCCCGCTTCTCTTCTGTATGTAGGGGACCAGTCTAAGCTAGATAGGACATTCAATGGCCAATAAGAAAACAGTTCAGACAGGTATGGTAAATTGACGCTCCCAAAATAGCAAGTACAAATCTCACGGCAGTTGGTAGGTATCAAGTAGTGAAGGCGTGTCTTTGCCACTAGCTAGTCCTACCATACGCCGCTACCGAGGTGGCCATTAGAGCAACAAAACCGGATTCGAAGATATATGTACCTGCATTTCACCATAGTCAGACTGCGCGGAGTGCAATCCAACGGCCAAGAAGAAGAAAAAGCGTCGAGGTCGCCCAGCAATATAAGGATCAGGTCAAAAAAAATTGAAGACTAAAAAAATACATACAAACACAATACCTAGATCAGAAAAGGTTGATGGGCAGGGATTGGAAAAACCTACTCTATCCCAACTCTTAAACCACATAACAAAAACACAGTTGGAAATCTACTAGAAAGACTTTCTGAAATTACCCAACTAATGCACTTATAATTTAGATAAATTCTTATGTTATTCTAAAATCTATCGACTGTCTTGACTTTTTTTAGTCTGGCTTAAATTTGGTTAGTTTCCGTAGACTTTACCATTTGTCCATATAGGATTTATTCCAAAAGTATTTCTATATCAAATAGTAGGAGCACTTATCATTCATTCGCTCAATTTTTTGGTGTTTTATCATTAAATTTAAGGTACTGGTGTAGTTTTATGTTAATTTAGGTGTAATAAGTAGATTTCTGCTTCATTCATACACGTGCTTCATTCATAGCCGTTGCTGTGATCTTTTAGGTATTCTAGCAGTTTATAGTTTTTTCCAAACACGATTCCCAAAATATTTCAATGCAAAAGCTAAATGGAATAAGTGATTCAGATTCCGTTATTGTTCAGTTATTTTTTGCGTAACTGGTGATACAAAATTAATAGTTGTGGCACTATAACGGGTCATTTTATATGTTGAAATAAGATTATTATTTTTTTTTAATTAGGATCACCGAATAAATTGGGTTCCACATTCGCAGAATTTGGCATGCCATGTATCAAATTCATGTGCCTTTTTGTGTTTTCTTTTCTGTTGCTTTTGTAAGAACAAAATTTAAATATGCATGAAAACCTCTTTGATTTGCCACAGTCGACTTTTAAATGTTTTTGTAACGATTGAAATTTGAAGTAGTATTTGCTGCAGTTGGGACAAGTGAAGTTACCTAAAAAGAATATTATTAAGAAAATTAAAAACTCTTTCAGTTTCAGATACACATCAATGGGAACTAGCAAAAGCAACACGTAGGAAAAATAATAGAAAATGTAAGTTTTGTGATTCTCTATTTATTTCATGAAGGAATTTGGCATGCCATGTATCGAATGCATGTGCCTTTTCGTGTTTTCTTTTCTGTTGCTTTTGTAAGAACAAAACTTAAATAGGCATGGAAACCTCTTTGATTTGCCACAGTCGACTTTTAAATGTTTTTGTAAAGATTTAAATTTGAAGTAGTATTTGTTGCAGTTGGGACAAGTGAAGTTACCTAAAAAGAATAATATTAAGAAAATTTAGAACTCTTCTAGTTTCAAATGCATCAATGGGAACTAGCAAAAACAACAGGTAGGAAAAATAATAGAAAATGTAAGTTTTGTGATTCTTTATTTATTACATGAAGAAATAACAGGAAGTTAGAGTAGCAGTAGGTATTCCTGTGGCATATGTTAACACTCTGGAAAATTGTGCAGAGGTTGGTAAGGAGAGGGGGAGTACCAAATCTTGTTGTTTTGTGTAAAATAAATATTAAATTATACATAGATGCGCTTCTTCCGGTTAAATCAATCAAAACCAGGGTTAGTCAACCATTGCTATTTATTATTTAAACCATTCTGCATCGTTTTAAAGCAGACTTGCTAGTATAACTGCTTAGAGCAAGCAAATATTTAATTAAGCGTTACATTAAATAAGAACAACAAATTAAATAATTGTTGATAAGTGAATTGTGTATTATATAGTATGATGTCCTTTCCTAGTTACAATATTGAAAGTATTCGTTTTATGTCTCCAAATGGCCTATTGTACCTCGGTTAGCTTTGGAATAAACGGAGCAATATCAATAAGAGTATCCACAGTCAAAGGGTGGTCCCCAAGGGGGCGTTCTCTCGCCCTTACTGTGGAAGCTAGTGGTAAATAACATCCTAACCAAGCTGAACAGATCTGCACTAAATGATTCTATGCTACGCGGATGATACTGCTCATAATAACCAAGGGTTAGCAGGAAGGCATTCGGTATCACCAACCCAACGCAAACTGCCTCGAACATCATTGAACACTGGAGCGAAGATGAGAAACGATCTCTAAACCCAAGCACAACCATTTAAGATCCGTTTATGAGAAGGATAAAGCTGAAAATAACGTGAAATACTCAGGGCTCACATTGGATCATAAATTCACAAACTCTGGAACAGCCATTCTTTACCATTTTTTTTAATCTCATTGAAACATATTGATGATACCACATATTCAACAGTCTCACCATCAGACTCATTATCATCATCATCTTCTTGAACTTCCCTTACTTGCTTTTGTTTACTGCTACCTGATTCAGTTGACCCAAAGGGACCATAGCGAGTACAAGCTCTAAAACGCTTACCATAAGCAGGACACTATCTATAACCATGTCTAGTACCACAGCTCTTACATTCAAACCTTTCTTGAGCGGTAGTGGATATCTGGACATGCCGCAAACTTGTTGGCAAGACATGGAAGTTCAAACCTAGAGTGGTATACTGGTTCTACTAGACAGTAATTGAAGTCCATGAAAATTGTGAACAATTTTAATATAAAAACAATTGAATGTCTTCTCCGGTTTCACCGGAAATGGCATTGACTTTGTTATTTTGAATGGGACACCCTGTATATATATATTTTTTTTTTGGACTCTCTGAACAATTCTAAATAAATTTGTCCAGCATACCCTATGTCAAAAATTGATAGTTTTTGAAATAGAGTGGCTCAAAAATATGTCGTAATTCCTATTTGTTTGTATTTTACGTGAAAACTGCCATTTCCGGTAAAACCGGAAAAGACATTCAATTATTTTTATATTAAAATTGTTCACAATTTTCAACCCTATCAACAAACCGAGTTGCATATTTCTATTTCGAGTCGTTAAGAAATGCCGCCATGGGTAGTAGTTTGATTGTCACCCGGTATATCTCATCGGAATGGTGGTGTGAAAAAAGGGCCATGCAATCACTTGGGCTAATAGGTTATTCCAGACCAATAAATTCAACAAAGAAGATGTGTGGAAATCAAGTTCAATGAAAATTGAAAAATTGGAGTAAGGCTAGGCGCGCACTAGCGATTTGTTGTCGCGCGACTGTTTTGTCGCTAAAAATGTCGGCTAAATGATAGAACCTGGCCCATTTTAGCGGCAACGCGACTGTCGCTGATTTGCATCAATCATACAGACTTGCGGAGACTTGCACGCATTGCGATTATTTAGCAGTACGATTTTTTCAACCTTCGGAATATCATTTTGTTTTCAGTTATTTAATGATTTTGAATATATGCCTTTGATTTGTATCGATTCAGTTAATGTGAAATATCAGAAAAAAAAACATGGCTGACAGAGAAGAAGTGACCTACATCGTTCTGGATTCTGAAAGAATTATTGTTGAAGTGGAGAAAGGACCAGCACTCTATAATAAAGAGTTGAAAGACTACAGCGACAGAAATGCTAAAGAGAAATTATGGATAGAAGTATGTGCAAATGTAATATCAAGATGGCATGAACTATCAGGTGCAGAAAAAAAAGTCAGAGGTAGGTGGATGATATTTATTTTTTGAAATATTACAAACTTAAGTAAATTAAATTTTATCATATTGCCAAGCAACTGAACCTTGCGGAGAGGTGAAATAATTTGCAAAATAGTCTCGTACTTGAGTGCCCGCTGTATTAGCTCTTGTTCCAACAGGTTGAATGGACGGTAAGGGCCATTCGTACGATTCATCTTGAAACCTAATACCGTCATGTTTTCTCACGAAATTATGTAGAATGCAGATGCTCTAATAATTTCGTCTGAAAATTCTATTCCGAGATCTAGAGGACGATGGAAAATTCGCCACTTATTAGCCAAAATTCCAAATGTACATTCTACCATCCGCCGAGCACGAGTTAATCGATAGTTAAAAACTCGTTTCATTGTGAGGTTTCTTCGAGGATATGGTTTGGAAATCTGATCTGTTAAAGCAAATGCCTCATCTCCCACAATGACAAAAGGCATACACTTTCCTTTTTCATCGTCAGGCAATGTTTGCGGGCTAGGAATGTTTAATTGCTTGGCTGTTAATCTCCCGCTAAAATTCGAGTTTTTAAATATATTGGAATCACTGTGTCCACCATAGGCTCCCACATCTATTGAAATGAAACAGTAATCGGCATCTACTATGGCAAGAAGTACTGTTGAGAAAAAATTCAAATTGTAAAATTCTGATCCTGTTGTATTTGGTTGTTTAATTCTTATATATTTGCCTTCCACTGCCCCAATGCAATTCGGAAAATTGGTACGGTCAAAAAACTGCTTGGAAATATTTTTCCAGTCTTCTTCAGATTTTTCGGACATACAGGGTGTTCCTAAATATCATGTACAAACAAAAGGGGGTGATACTTTGGTTTATTTTATGACTAAAATTTCTAACAAACATAGGTCCGCAAACGCTTCGTTACTGATCTACAGGGTGTTGAAATTTTAATATTTTTTTAGTTTTTTCTTATAACTCCTGCAATTTTTGAGGGATTTAGCTCAAATTTGGAATATAGGTTACGCAATAAGGGCTGAATGATTGCACATGTCAAATGTTCGCCAGAATCTACAGGGTGATGTTTTCTCAGGGGTCATGTCCCCTTTTCTGCCCCTGAACTTTTTCGCGGTGCGCCGCTGGTCAATTCTAAGATACAAAATAATTTTTTTGCCCTATTTAGAAACTTTTTGTTCACTTGTAGTTTTTTCATATTACCGACCCTTATGGAGAAAAAAATTAAAAAACAAATCTCTGTAATTAGCTAGATGAAACTTAAGTGACTCAATAAACCTTTTCTACCTACATTGGCAGCCATATTGTTGCTCATTTTCAATAGGAATCTACAGGTAAGACACCTCTCGTCACCATATTCTTGCTCATTTTCAATATGAATACATTAAAATTTCAACATCCTGTAGATCGGTAACGAAGCGTTTGCGGACCTATGTGTATTAGAAATTTTAGTCATAAAATAAACCAAAGAATCACCCTCTTTCATTTGTACATGATATTTAGGAACACCCTGTATAAAGAGGTTGCAAAACTTCCCATAATTGCTGACAGGTATCTTTAACAATTTCTCGAATTGTTGTAGCTCCTGAGAGGAACTCAAAATGCAAAGAGTTGAAAGTGTTCCCTGTTGCCAAATACCTAAAATAAAAATCGTATATTTATTCACAATTTTTTTTTTTGTTACAGAAAGAGACGTTCAAAAAAAGTGGAAAAATCTGAGAGACTGTTTCGCAAGAGAGCTTGCTATTCAGAAAAAAATCAAATCTGGCGAGCCTGCCAGAAAACGACGGAAGTACATCTACTTCGATGCATTGTTGTTTTTACTTCCCCATCAACAACCCAGGGCGACAAGTAGTAATGTAGAACCTCCAAACGATGATATACAGCTTCCAGACGATGATATACAGCCTCCAAACGATATAAACGACAATGAAGGTCCCAGAAACGAAACTGGAGAGTCTTCAAACGATAATTCGGACCCTCCGCGTTCTGTACCCTCTGCAGAGCCTTCACAGAGGGCACCACGCAGTTGTCCCAGTAAATCTCAAACGTCAACATTTGAAGCTTCGTTAATAGAGATTTTGAAGAACAAACAAAACGAGGAAGTTTCAGAGGATAAAAGTTTTGCTCTTATGTTAGCTCCTATGTTGGCCAAACTCAACGACGAGCAGAAACATTTTGCCAAAATTGAAATACTTAGCGTGTTGAGGAATGCAAAATTCTATACAACCCCATTTCCCCAACAGGCCCAACAACAGGCTAACTATACACAGCCTGGACGATCAGCACAAACTAACTTTCATCCCCCTTTGCATCCAGGCCCACATAATATGCAGTCTCATAACTCTACACATTTGCCAGCAGCTTCGTCTCAATTTTCCAGTCAAGCATCTGTAGGTTTGGCAGCAGGTTCGCCACAATACTCCAACCATTCTGACAACTCCATTTCCATCCAGAGATACTATTCGCAATTTTCGAAAGATATTCTGTCACCAACTTCCACAGACGATAACGCAATTAACGATTTTTAATCAATATGTAATACTGTATTAATAAACAGAAATAATAAATTATTTTAAACTGTTCTTACCTACCTTAATGTTACTGCTAGTCGCTCTTCAGGTGGCATTGCCTGCCTCCATGTAGTATTTCTGTATGTTATATTTGGTCCTATTATTTGAAGCAGTACGTTAAAACTGTTTAGACTTAGCCGATAATATTGAAAAAATGTTGGGGGATGCTCTACCAAATTAGAATGTAATTTGTAATACTGTCCTTTAATTAATCTTTGACTAACAATCGGATGCACCCAGTACTTTTCTTTCCGTTTTTTTTTTCTGGCGTTTTCACGCAACAGCAAAGTTACTGCACAAGCTGTTTCTACAAAATCCATTTTAAAACTGCAGTGATGTTGCGATCGATTTGCAGCAGTGCGCGCTCTTTCAAATGTCTCTCGAATATGTTTGCGACTGCGACAAAATTATCGCGCGGAAAAAAATCGCTAGTGCGCTAGAAAATAGCTACCTTTGTGCCTTGAAAAATAGCTGCAAATACTTTGATAATAATTATATATATTTAGGTTCTTTCCTTTTTTTTATGTATTTTGTAAAATTTCTAAAGCTCCCAGTGTTTATTCAAAATTTATTAAAAAGATCCTTAAACAATTTATTTATTTTTCTTATACCCTCTTTTTCGACGCTACTGCACTACATTTTCGAGTGTTAACATATACCACGTTGTTATAATTGATTTTCTAGGAACAAAAAAAACCGCATGCTTTCATCATTAAAAGTGCCGCGGCAGTGACCATAGGCCTTCCGGCGAATAGTTTCAAGGCGATTTCTCGCAAATTCTAATTTTTAAATTTTTTTTCACGTAAACGGGTTCGTAGATAAGTGAGAATACTTTACCAAACCTAAATAAATATTATTGACCAGAAGAAGAAGAATATTTTTTCGTTGCCCACTTTTAGCATTCTGTTTTCAAAATCCACAGATAGAAAATCAAAGGTTGCTTTGACATCCACACCCAATATAAATTAATCTAGCAACAATCACTTTTAGCTTCAGCTTGGTGCTGCCTATCTCCAATGTTGCAGTGTTTCCTCCAAGAACATTTATTAAATCTCCTTTGGCTGACTGATCTTGATGCCCCTGTATATATTGTATACAGGGTTGAAAACTTTCCACCCCTATTATCGTGAAGTAGAAAATTTTTCGAAAGAATCCCTGAAACACGTCAACTATAATTTGAAGGGGGATGAGTTTTTATGAAAAATTTACCTCCCCTCTTTCAACTCCCCAGCCCCAGAGCCACCCCCTAGAAAATCTTAAATGGGAAAGTGACACATCATTTTGCAGAGTTTTTAATTCCATATATTTTGGTACCAAATTTCAATACCTAAGTTCAACTGTTTTGGAAATATTGAAAGTTGAAAATTGACTTTTTTGCAACTTTGAGAGTCTGTAAAACCTAAACGCTTAATTTTAGAGGGAAACCGTTCTCAAATTCTTATCTTAGATTTTCATAAACTATCATTTAATATCAACTTTGAATTTAACCGGAGATTAAATTTAATTGGAATTTTCAATCATGGATTAAATTTAAAGTTGGTGTCAAATGATAGCTTATGAAAATCTAAGACAAGAATGTAAGATCGGTTTTCCTCTAAAATTAACCGTTTAGGTTTTACAGCCTGTTGAAGTTTCAAAAAAGTCAATTTTCATAAGATACATGGTCATGCCAAGTCAAGTTAGTCGATGCGATCACCCCAGGAAGAGATCCTGAGGGGTTTATATAAGGGTTTTGTCCCGACATGCTTAAAACTGGGTTATCATCGGCAGAAGATTTCTTATTTGAGAATATTGTTGCTTGAGTTTGAGAAGCATTGAATTTGACTAGGTTGTTAAGGCTCAAGTTGGTAATGGTGTCAAGATCACTGTTAATAGCTTGGGCGAGGCACGTGAGAGTAGGTGCAGTAAGCGGTTTGTTAGAAGAGAAAGATTCCATAAAGCTACTATCGTCCGCAAATCCGTGGGTGTGCACACAGAATTGAGCCTTGGGGAACGCCGGCATCTATAGACAGTGCATCAGAAGACACACCAGTGACCAGCCTTCCAAAAAGCTTCCCAGCCAATTAGTGGAGAGCCTACACACAAAAAAACGCCAAATTGGGTTACAAGCATGAAATTTGGCAGAGTTGTCAGGAAGCTCATTTTAAGAAATCTGACCCGACTAGCCAGGCTCTACGATCCTCAAGACTCCCAGTCTCGCATTTTTTTTCAAAATGGCGGACGGGAATTTCCTCAATTTCAAAATTAATTCACTTGGGCATGATTATACATTATATTATATAATTTGAGGTCAAGGGATTCAAAAAAAATATTTTCAAAACGATATGACCTTCAGTAACCTTGAAAATTACAGTTTAATTCGATTTTAAAATAATTTTAATGTAACATGTTTTAAACCGCCAATAGAGGGGGGTTAAAAACCAAAAATTATTGCTTAGCATAATAAAATTAAAATGTCTTATCAAAGACAAAAAGTTTCTTCTATAATAGATCAGCGCTGGCTGAAGCGGTAGTACTAAGGTACATGAAGCCATGGCATTACTTTGTTTTTCACAGAAATGTTTCAAAGTATCATATATGAAGGTTACAGAATCTTTTTTTTTTCAGAAAAATAAAGTATTGCCATGGTTCTGTGGCACCATGTCACTACCTCACCAGACGCTGCTTTAACAGATACTGCAAAATATAGAGATCGTTGGTTTTGGCATTCGCCATCGCAGTTAGTACAAGGTAGACCTGCTCTCTGATACGAACATCTGTTGGTTTCACTTTTACTTTCACATCCGCACTTCTCTAGCCTTTTAGAGCTCACCAAATTTCTGCTAGCTGGCTCCCAGCGGTTGTTGGTTGAATTCCAACCCCATCCTCCAGGATATGGAATAGGTTCACCGGGTGACAGGGATCGACCCCGACCCCATATTTGACCGGCTCGATACGCAGCTCTTCTGTAGTCTTCCATTAAACTGTCTTGTGACGGTAAACACATGGCTATTGGTCGTTCTCCGCTACGAAACTGCACCTTTCTCAATTTATTAACTTTTTCAAGTTTGCTTTTTGCATCATATACTGGTATAGTGAATTTCTCTAAAATTTTGAATATTTTTTGTGCTACTATCCATTAGAGATAAATGATGGATGGGCAGGGTTGCCTCTGGATAATCTTTCCATGTGCTTTCCATTCTTTGTTCTTTCTTTTGAATGCAAAAAAGGAAGTAGTTTCGCACCCCCTAAAAGCATAAAAGCCACGCAATGCTAAAGATTTTTCAGGTCCCAATAAATGATTTGCAATGTTATGAGCTGCAATATATCTTTGTGATTTGTTAACCCCATATACAAGCTACCATAATTCCTCAAGGGTCAAGGACTTAACATGTAGAAACATTCTTCCATCTGCTTCCTCCATGTCGGTACAAGATAGTCCATCCAGACTGGTTTTGACATTATGTTAAACATTTGGTCCAAAATGGAGCTAAATCCGTTTCAGTACGATTCTCGGACACAGCTGCAATAATAGGAACATAATTTTTTTATATATTGAACTCCTCAGGCCTTGAGGAATTATGGTATCTATATGGGGTTAGCAAATCACAAAGATATATTGCAGCTCATAACGTTGCAAATCATTTGGGAAAAATCGTAAGCACTGCGTCGCTTTTACGGGGTGCGACATTACTTCCTTTTTTGCATTGAAAGGAAAAAACAGCATGGAAAGCATGGGGAGATTATCTGAAGGCAACCCTGGCTTTCCATTTGTTTATCTTTAATATATAGTACCACAGATATACCACAAAATATATTCAAAATTTTAAAGGAATTTATTATTACACTATATGATGCAAGAAGCAAACTTAATGAATTGAGAAAGGTGCAGTTTTGTAGGATAGAACGATCATTAATCTGAAGGATGGGGTTGGAATTTAACAAGCAACCGCTGGGAGCCAGCTACCACAAATTGGTGAGCTTTAAGAGGATTAGAGAAGTGTGGCTGTAAAGGTCGAGGTGAAACTAACCTAACAGATGTTCGTATAGGAAAGCTATAGTACGGCCGCATATACTAACTGCAAGGGCGAATGTCAAAACCCGAAAAATAGGTTTTATAACCTAACCTTCATACGATACTTTGGAACATTTCTATGAAAAATAAGGTAATGACATTGCTTCATGTACCTTACCACTACCGCGCCAGCCACCACTGATCTGTTGAAAAAGTTAATAAATTGAGAAAGGTGCAGTTTCGTAGTGGAGAACGACTAATATCCATGTGTCCACCGTCACAATACAGTCTAATGGAAGACTACAGAAGAGCTGCGTATCAATCCGGTCAAATATGGGGTCGATCGCTGTCACCCGGTGAATCTGTTCCACCACCTGGAGGATGGGGTTTGAATTTAACCAACAACCGCTGGGAGCCAGCTAGCACAAATTTGGTGAGCTCTTAGAGTACTAGAGAAGTGTGGATGTAAAAGTCAAAGTGAGACCAACAGATGTTCGTGTCAGAAAGCACGTCTACCTTATACACCCGCATGTACTAACTGCAATGGCGAATGTCAAAACCAACGATCCCTATAGTTTGCAGTATCTGTTGAAGCGGCTGGTGAGGTGTGCCATGGTGCCACGGAGCAATACCTTATTTTTCTGAAAAAAAAAAAGATTTTGTATCCTTCATATGATACTTTGAAACATTTCTGTGGAAAATAAGGTAATGACATGGCTTCATGTACCTTAGTACTACCGCATCAGCCAGCGTTGATCTATTATAAAAAAAACTTTTCGTCTTTGAAAAGATATTTTAATTTTTATGTTATGCTAAGCAATCATTTTTGATTTTTAACCCCCTTCTATTGGCGGTTTCAAACATGTTATATTAAAATTAAACTGTAATTTTCAAGGTTACTGAAGGTCATATCGATTTGAAAATATTTTTTTTGAATTCCTTGACCCCAAATTATATAATAAAA